TTGTCTCGAACACATCTTTTATTTGTATGGCAGCAACGTAATGTTCGCTCTCTGTTGGTTACCTACGACGGGAAAACTGCCGTTGACGAGCGACAAAACTTTATTTGACCCGTGGCAAGTTTAATCAAGGAAAGTACGCGTGACGATGACGCAAAATGAAACGTGAACAATTCATTTGTCCCGAAAAATTCTAATTGATCCCTCGTGAGACGAAAACGCGTATAAGTTGAAACACGTGGGGGTCGATTATGCCGTCGTTTAATCGTTGAAGGAAAGTCTCGCGAGCGTCTCCCTAGCCGTAGACAGACATCCTTGACCTTTACCCTATTTATTTTCTTGTATTTACCTATTATTCCGCAAGCGTCCTGAACGTTTCGCGTGAATGCCATTGCGCGATCAGCTTCATTTTTGTTCTCCCGATTACTGCAAATAACCGCGAGGACTAAGAAGACAACGAAATCTGAAACAACTCCAAAAATAATACCTCTGTGAAAGCACTCAGGTTCGCACATACTCCATATCCATTTTACAACGTAGCTGCTCCATTGTGAGCGTTCTCCCTATTGTCGGGCGCATTATATCCGAGTTCTCTCGGCGCATCAGTGTCCATTGTCATAAGACGTTTTAGGGCGCACCGAGTTTGTGTATGCACAGGCCGATAGGGCGTATCAGTGGATGCATATATATAGCTGAGCTTCGACCTTGCTGGCAGTTTCAGTGTTTGCTTTCAACGTGGACGGAACGTCCAGTTTAATGTCGGAGAACAGATAAGCCATCGTGTGTTTTCAAGGTGTCGCCATAAATATCTTGATAAGTTTGTTTTGATTAGAAAGAAATGCTTCTGATTTTCAAGGTGCGATATCTCAGATAATACAATATTATTGAGTTAAAGATAGTGCATTTCCTAAACCTCTCGTTTCGTGAAAAAAGCCGTTGGGGAAAGTGTTTTCCGCACGAGAGCTGGAAATAGCGTCCAAAGGTGCGACTTGAATTTTAGAATGCGGAAATAGTACATTTGGATCAGCGAGAGTTAAGAGGCCATGCGAGACTGGAATAATCACTTTCTCGCACTAGTACTTAATTGTATTATTTTACTTAGTCAGAAGGTTCATTATTATCGTTAAATAAAGTCAATTCGAAGAACTTGACATTCGAGAACTGATGAGAATATAGACTCGAGAGGTGATTATTCATCGAACTACGGCTCTAACTTATGTCAGTATTTTTGACGTTAAATTCTAGCCGGTGGCGCAGGTGAGATGAATATCCTCGACTAACTCATTTACAATATGATCGATTGCGTGGTCTCGCACAAAATTGCCTTTGATCAATTTTCCCTTTAACTTTTCAAGTATCTCCTTGCTATGTTCCGTTATAAAATATACGATAGTTTGAAAATCAGTAGACATCCCAGTTTTACTGTCAAAACATTCATAAATCTAATGTCTTTATATTACAGAAATAAAAGATCAAATTGATTGAGCCTTAATCGAATTGGATTACCATGATAAGTCAATAATACAATATTCAAATAATAAAAAACCGAATGGAATGTTCAAATTATCGACGATTTTTTATACAAGCAGTTTCTAGGGCATTTGTAAAAGTTTGTATTATCAAGCTGTAATAATTTTTAAAATCGCATTGACGTAAGAAACTTATTCATATAACAAAGAATTATATAAGGTCATTTGTCCACATCAAAAAAAGAGAAGCTCCTATTAGAAGGATATAAAAAAAAGTAAGAGTGACGTACGCGCGAAAGCGAGACAATTTGATAAGAGCATAGCAGGCTTTGTTTTGCCAACGTAGAGGTAGCACGTGGTCGTCGCTAATGGAGAAATCGATATTAAATTCGCAAATGTATCTTCGCGCTGAGCTTGCGTGACCTGAGCAATAACAGATATAACTCGGGATGCCGCCAGAAAGAATAAGAGTGAAGGCCAACCGTCAGAGTTTACTTTAACCCCGCCATTGTAAATGTATAATTCAAAGGGTTCTCTCGCTATTACAGTAGGGATTCGTAGTTTCATGCGACTTATCTCTGTTGCTGCTACATGCTGAAAAAGGTAAAGACTTATCTATAACATTGTATCTGAGTTGTTTTGAATATTTAAAAATCGAGGCGTTTTTAAGATACATTCGCCAGTTAAATTCGAAAAAAGGTATCAGGTATATAACATAGACGATTGCTATCTGAATATTTTCATGAAATAATTTTCGCTATGTCTTACCATCTCGGTAATTTATAAATTTAGCAAAATTTATAGAAAGATCCAGTTCAAGTTCAACATTGAAAATAAAAAAGCTTGTACTTTAGGTACTTTTCATCGCAATATTACGTAAACGATAGCTGAAACGAATTCAAGGAATATTAGAAAAGCTTTCTATTGAAAAAAATTGAGAATTTATTGAATGAAAGCGAAAAATACACAAGCACCTATTGAATTTCACACATTTAAAAAAAACTCATATTGGACAATATACTTTCGAGCCTTCCTCAAAAAATGTATCCAAAAACTAATTGATAAATTGCAATCATCGTTTGTGCGCTAAAAATCATTTATCATCATTTGCAGTAGTAAATTACGAGAAAATTATGAGGTAAAGCGTAGCACAGGCGAGTAGCACGCAACAGCGAAAAAGGTTACTGAATTTCGCGTGATCACGTACGGATCAAGTGCAAATGTCAGGGTCGAAAGCCAAAACTCAAAAGCTTTTGCCTCTCTGCTTTGTTCGGCGAAACATTGAAAGCGCCGATCGATAAGCAATTAGTCTTTTGCGTTGCAACAGTCATTTATTAATGGAGTCGTTACGTTACGAAAAATATGGATGTCTGGTTCATTATCGATGTACTTGCGCACGGAATCCTTTTTCGTAACGAGAACGAACAGCTCTTAGCACTTGATGAGTCTATAAAATGTGTACACGGTCCTTTACTTTTCATACATTTTCTTTAAATTCACGCGTCAGCATAGTTGAGAGTCGAGCATACACGTAGAAATTAATAAAATGCCGCTCAAAAGGTTGACATTTTCATTCAGTTTCAAGCCGGAAATTTGATTGAACCCATCGAAATTATATTGCCCGAGAAATTTCATGAATATTTCTATAAAAACACAATTGCCAATGGCATTCCCATCTGAAATTCCGCCGAAAGACCTTTGATTTTAATTTGTCGGAGCAGTGTGCACCGCTCGTGAATATTAAAATAGACAAGCAAGACGAGCCCTACGAAATAAACGCCAGGTATGCCTTAATTGAAATTCTCTTCTTTCGTATGATAGTAACAGAAAGGCTCTCGCACGAACGACCCATAGTGTCCATTATAGTGCCCATGCTCTTTGGGGCTGCAACGTCTGCCGCGCGGTCTGATCGATAAATCCGCGCGACCGAGCTTACGCGCGAGCTTAATTGGCGCAAGCCCCCACAGAGCAATGTTCTATGCGCCTTCAGTAATTAGCTTTCGTTGGCTTGTTTACCACTGCTCGAATCACTTCTCATAGCGCATGATTTCGATATTATGACGGAATTGTAAAAAGAGTGGCTGTGATATTGTTTCGATTCGTCGTATTGCATCGCAGCGCCATTATTCATGGAAAATGAATCGTTTACTCGATTACATAGAAACGCCCACCAACCCGTTCGCAGACCTACAGCAATATAATCGTACCAGAAGTCTTTTCAATAATATATCGCTCGTGAATTAAAACACTTGCAATGAAAATTGTTACCTTCCAATTACTAACGACACCGCTGTTTCATTCATCATTCCACATGGTTTGCACAAGCTACGCAACGACACTTCTGCAAAAAGTAATTTCCGGAGCAAACTTTCCCGAGAAACGCATCTCTCGCGCGTCAGCAGGGCATTGCGCACGCGGAAAAATAAAAGGCATCGTGGAAAGTAAAAAAGAAGGTAGAGCGCGGAAACACTTGAAATAACGTTTAGATGGTTTTATCGTTATCAATATTGACAAGACCGAGCGTCGGCGGCGTTGCAGAAGAGTGTGTATATATAAGGTAGCCTCCTCTTCGTGCGTGAGAAAACCGCATTTGCGGCCTACAATCGGAAGAATCGTGTTGACAGAGCGCGAGACAGGATAATCCATCCGGTAAATACAGGATCAGCATTTGCAGCCTCTCATTGTCCACGCGTCCGTATACGTGTGTGACCATCACCGATTATCACTCGACGGTCGGAATCATGTTATTTTCAAGTTCCTTTTTCGGAAAAAAGGACTCGATTGTCGTAGGAAACAGCACGTACGGTTTGTCCAGTTTGTGTTTACTCGAGCTGAGCTGATTGTACGATGTGAGAAGAGGTGTTTTTACATGGATTATCGGAGAACTGTGTCGATTTTGTGTTCAACTTTAGATAAATTAATCTACTTTGATTTATTTTTCATAAAGCATTGAGGGACTGATATTCAGCGTAGAAAGACTTCGTTGTTCGATTCAATTCAATCATGGTGTACCATAGGCTAAGGAAACGCTAACAATTTTCAATTATCAATTTATCGATCGATTATCATAATTACTGGCATCCGACAAAAATAAATTAAAGCGTAAGCTCCTAGTGTGGCAGTTAAAGAATTTTTAGAGACACACATATCACTTTCAACGTATAGTATGAGAATTCTATTTTTTTAATTTGTCATAAAAGAATAGACCACGGCTTTTTAAATACATTTGTGTATATTAATATTAGGAAAAATAAACACACGAAATATATTGTCTAACGAATTTGAGAAATATTCGCATGTAAAGACGAATGATTTAAAAAAGAGCGCTTACGCGAGCACCATCCAAATATCCAAATGATGAGCTTACGAATATATTTTCGATGCCCCTTAAAATTGTAATCTACGAAAGGTTTATTTTTACTCTTACCGACCTTAACTCGAGTGCATTACATTCTATAGGCATGACCCAATTGAACGGAAATTCTTCGATTCGAAAATATAGCAAAAGAGAGGAAATTATAGGATAACAATTACCTGCAGCCAAATGAATGAGGTGGACGACAAGGGCTATCACCTCGATTTTCGCCATCACGCCGTTTTTATAACTCTTTCCGCTCGGCGCTCATCAGCCGATGCAAATGTTGGTCGTTCGGAGCGATTGTATGCAACCGCGTGAGACGCGACAATGGCCGCTTTATATCTATTTTTTTTCTTTTGCTTATTTCGCTCGCTGTATACTTTTAATTCAGGATTATAACGGCGAGCACTCGGCTGTTGTGTTGTCTTGGCTATTGTTGCAAAAGTTTAAGGGCTGTTATTCTTGCGCAGTTTCCTCTTGGCATCGCGCTTCTTTATTCCTTCCTCTCCTTCACTCTCTCTCTCTCTCTCTCTTTTTCTCTCTCTTCCGAGGATGAATATCCCCGCGGTTCAGCACTTACTGACGGACTTGTGCACTCGCGCGTTCGAACCGCCGTGACGATGATTCGTCCTCGCGGGCGAACAAACGTGTCACCTGATTATTCACGGATGTGTGGCTCGGTGGCTATCATCGCGATGAATTCACGCGCACGTGACTTTGACTTAGAGGAGCATGCCGTGCGTGCCGGCGCCACGGTGCTGCGGCCGATACTGCGAGAGAGACTCGTGGTGCCGGGCGGCGGGCGCCTCGCGCCGTGGATGCGCGTTATCATCGTAGCGCGCACGCGCCCGGAAGCCGGCTACTTTTACGTCTGCGGTGCCAGTACGATGGGGTGCCAGGATTGTTTTTCATGCGTGACGATTGTACAAACACAGACTGCCACTCGTTGATGCCTCTTTTTTCGTGCTTGTCAAAGTCGCCTTAAGCTTTATTTCGGGAGATGAACATTTCGAATGATCGTTATTGACGTTAGTATTCATCCTCTGTCGGGGCCAGGGTTTTGCACAAGGATGGCGAGTTTTTCACGACGTCCGATGGTTGAAGCGAGGGTGCAATCGAGCACTGCCTCGAGTGTGACAAATATTTATTAAATTAGAGCAATCCCTTGTCAAATGCTTCGTCTCCAACCTTCATCACTCATCGGAACGATTCTAATAAGTTGATGGTGCTGTCGAGTAACGAAGGGAGATTTTATTGTAAAAGTACATTGCAGTCAGTTATTTTGGGATAATTATCGATGATCAATTTTTGGTGAGAGCGATTATCATTATTCCTCCTCGGATTTCGTGGCAAGGGCGCCAGGTTTTCCGTTACATCTTACCCTACCCAAGTATCCCGGATGTGGTTAATTTTTATTGAATTATGGTTGTATGTACTTGAAAATACCTGCTATTTTGTATGTGAATACGGGTATTTATTTTATGTCTTGACAGTCTATCTTTGAAGCTTTGTTATATGAGTAAATCCTCAAAACTTTTACAATTCAACGTTTCACAATAATTATTTTTTGTAATTGTAGGCACACCTTCGAATAAACTTTTCTTCTGGCTTAATTTATCCTCAATAGCCTTGGAAAATACAGGTCATTGATATTTTCATAAACTTTTCTTGTGAAATTGCATAATTAGCCAGAATATGATTTTTTAAATAAAACTGTTACTCGTATCATGGATCGGCAATCAATAGGTAAACTTTATATTCATTTTCTGCAAAGAACTATATTACTATATTTATTGCTCTAATACGATAACTAATTAACAATGTATTAAAAATATTAATTTAATAAAATTACAGTAATCAATTTAATAACAATTAGAAAGCTAGTACAACATTGAATTTTTCTCGTAACATTTGATGTTTGTTTACGTCTTTCGCACTGCTTATTTTATCTTGAACTATACATTGAAAAGAAATATTTTGTAGATCAATATCAATAGGCACCTACAGACATCGATTGGTCTTATATATTATTAACACCAAATTTCGATAATTTAGATAATTGAGTTCAAGTTATTACCAAAATAACATTGCGATTTAAGCGCCAGATAAAACATTGATAGAGTACATGACAAATAGCTCATCGTTATAGATTATTATCAAAGATATTTTTAATGTGTCATCAGAAATTATTAACTCGAGCGGCGTAGCGATGTTACTGACTTTGAAGGGTTCTAACTTGGAAGCGTTACATGGCTCAGATTTGAAAAAAAAATTCAAGAAGATTACTTTTATTGAGTAGTATATATTCATATAATTCAGATTTGAAATAAAAAAAAAACTTTTTTCCGTAAACAAATAAAGTTTGGAAAATTTTCAATTGAAAATAAAATAAATTACACTTCTACGTGTGTTTTTCATATTTTTGTAAAAAGCAGCACACTACTGTTGCAGTCTTTTCCATTTAACAGTATATGCCAAAAAGTATCGACACACAAATTTTTTGGAGTCATTTTTTGAAGATTTTTATTTGACAACATAAAAAAATGTCATAGTCAATAACAACATAAAGTTATGATATATTCCTTTTTCTTCAAGTAATAGTGTCACAAATATAAAAAATAGCTCAATATAAACCTATGGAACTCGTTGAGCGTCATACTGTCTATATAAAACGGTCTTCTGATCCAAAGTCCTTTACAATAACACTGTTGTCACCAAGAAGTTGAAATTTAAAAAGTTTTGATGATTTATTCATATATGTTGGGCAGCTTATAAAAATAGAAGACATTTAACAATTAGTCAATCAGTCGATTCGGCGACAGCCTGATTCGCTGTTATTCGTCTAGTCGAGCAGAAGATTTTAATTGACATTTGAAGGCTACTTAATAATATTGCTTAAAAAGTGATATAATGTTTCCGAATTAAACTCTGCTTAAAATTAATGCTCAATTCAATAACTCTTCAATTATCATTGATCAGATTTCTATCAAAAAAATTCAGATCTTCGATATATATATTTAATGTGGTCATGAAGTCAATTATATGATTTTAACATGAGCAATATATGAAAATTACTAGTAGAAAATTTGTAGTGCACCATAAAGAAGAAAAATATATATTTAAATACATTATCCTTAAGGAGAGCACTAAAGCTTATCCACTTTTGAGAACCGCAATAACATATCTCCCCTTAAATGTGCAAAATAGGACTGTGACGTCGATTACCCGAGAGTAACTTAGAATAAAAATTTCTTCGGGTTCTTATGTATCAAGGCGTATCTTATAGTACACGTCAAGTGCGTACGCGCACGCGTGCGCAATACAGCAAAGAACTCAAAATAATACTTGAAAGGAGGCGACTCCGCTAAATTATCATCCTTCGTTTGCTCTCCCTTTCAGCTTAATGATTTTTCCAATTTGCGAGAGTAAGCCATCCGTTTTCCTGCGTCGCGTGTAAGCTCCTTAAAAAAATTAAAGAAACGACGCAGATGTGTGCGAATGCGTACATCGAAGCGCAGCTTTTTTGAAGGAGAACGTCGACGAGCTGACGTCATGATGGGCAACAAGAAGAGACGGACAAAATGTAATTTCGAGTCTGCGAAGGACGAAGCGTTGATGGTGGATGGTGGAGGAAAATCCAAGGGGAGCACCTAAAGAATTGCGTGAATTTTTTAGACTCTGGTATTTTTTACATTAGTCGTCCCTGCAAAACGTTTCTTCTATAATCGCTTGACATAGAATATAATATTTTATGCTAAAGAAAAATTGTTGAAGGATATTAAAAAGTTGCGATAAAGCACAATATTTAATGACTTTTTATTTGTTTGTTCAGTAACATCATTGATTAACATGACAATGTGCTGTAAAGGAATATACTAGTGTACTAATAAAACGAAGCTTATACGTACGTATTCGGTTTTGCGTGTCTGAGATTGAATACAGTTGAAGCGAGAAAAAGCGTAAACAGAAAAATAGAAAGCCGAGTAATGATAAATGCAAACGCGAAGAAGGAAAAAGGGGCGGGGAAGGATAGAGGGAGGAAAAGAGAAGCAAGCTTATGCGCTTGTTTTCTCTGTTAGCCGTGTGCCGGTCTCGGGAAACATACATCCCCATCCTACAGATGATGAGTCACGCGTGGATTCATCGCCCCCCGAAGAATGTTCAGCATCTCTCCAACGCAAACCTTCGATCAAGTTCACTAGCCCGTTATTGCAGCGAATCATGAGTAAGAGAGAGAGAGAGAGAGAGAGAGAGAGAGAGAGAGAGAGAGAGAGAGAGAGAGAGAGAGAGAGGAGAGGGGTGGAGAAATCACATTGTGACAAATTGTTGTCCACGCTTGTCAAAAGCACGGATGTGTCTTTTTTTGCGCACAGTGAAACTTTAATAGTTTTTTAAGTTTCCTTGTTGGTAACTAACGTGATTATTTCGACATGCTACATCGAACTCATTTGAAAAATGTATAGTTAAAATATTTTTAATCACGAATTTGTAAAAAAAATGTTGAATCACGATAAGTTATCGTACTTGCGAAATCATAACTATGTTTTATTATTGAAATTTTCAAAACATTGTTATATATTGAGCTACGGCGAGTAACAACAAGCGTCACTAGGAAAATTTTGTTCAATTTAGTTGTTTTAATTGGTTTGTATAGATATGAACTTGAGAAAGAAAACTGTGTTTAACCTGATTTATAGTTTATGTTACGTTAAATAAACTCATTTTCCTTTTTTTATAAATAATTGAAATGTTTGCAATGCGTTCCAAAAACAATGCTCAAAAAAATGTGTGATGTAAAAATGTTTTTTTTAATATTATACTGGAACCCTATTCAAATTGTTCATAAGCATTTGTAGAGGTTGAAACAAAATTTATCTGATATAATATAGTTAATGAAAAAGAGGTTATTCTAATAGAGCAAGTTTGCAGCATGTTTACAACATGATGAAATATTCCGAGTTCCCAATCTTTTCAATCTAGACAATAGCTTACTAATATTGAGCTTTTTTCAATCTATTTCTCAAATTGTCAGTTCAAATTCAATCCAACACGTTTTATGAACGAGAGTGGCACTAAGCTTAAAAAAATCGCTACGGTTAATTACATGAGAAATGAAAATGGTTATCGCATTAAAGCGACATTCTCAAGTTCGATACTGAATGAACTGGCAAGCTTTCACGAGCACTCATGAAGTGGTTTATCAAATCGTTCTACTGTTTGCTATTAGATTGTCTATTACTTCCGTAAGAATATGTAACAATACACAATCATACAACACGTTATTATGAAATATATTTATTTAACGATAAAAGTACAAGAAAAATCGGAAACACAATAGCGATATAATAAATAAAAGTATTATTTTCTTGACATTCTAGATATGGCACAAAAGACAGCTGATTGAAAAAGATATTACAAAAAAAGACAGCAATGTTATATACAATAATAAATATAGATACATTTAAAAATGCTTTGTACCGGGACTACCGAATGCCAAGATAAATACAATTTCCATACGTACATAATAAAATGTTGAAGAAGAATGGTAACTAGTGTCAGTAATTTTAATTAACAAATGGATAGCCGACTACGTATAAATATATATATATATATATATATATATATATCGAAAAGTTTTTTCAATTACGTTACCCTTAGCGCATTGTAAGGTAGCTTTCTACGCTCCGGTCGGTAAACGAAGCAACCTGCAGTCTGGAGTCCGATTCGCGAATGTATACAGGTATATGGAAATACTCGCGAAAGGTAAAAGCTGCAGGCTATTCCGAGCGAGGGCGCAGCTGAATAGTCAGGAATTTTTCAGATCGTATGGTAATAATGCTGTAACGACGCGCAGCAGTAAAGTGTACTATAACCAGACATACAAACTTTATCAATAAGCATAAGCGTATTGAAACTCGCACTGACTATAAAGCTGCAAGAAGCTCACGAATCAATTGACGAGAGAAAAGCAAATCAGCAATCTGCCTGGCACACTTTCCTTCTATTCATTACGTACGACGATTACAGCCTGATATTATAACTCACGACAGCAGTGCGAGACTCGATATTTCGAAATGCCTTATCCGCATTGAAATCGGAATACGATTATCCATGAGCTACTTTAAATTCAATGCTTGGAAAATAGAATCACTGGATTTAGAGCAGAGCGCTGTTTTAAATATCAAGCCAATAATGGCTTTCACTTGTCCATCAAATTTATAATTCAATTTAAGCAAAACATAGCACTTGGAATTTTTCCATGAATATAATCTAATTTATTACAATTGTAGGCATCATTCACGATTATTAAAATGATTCGCTACACAAAAGTAGCATCAAGATTTTGAAGCTGAATTGAATTCCGAAAGCAAAGTGAGCTCTTGCCGGACAAAAGCTTCCGAAATACCATGCAAAACCCATCGCTACCCCGGCATCGCAAATATTACCGTAACGCAATCCAGGATGAACACCAGAGTCGACGAGGGTGGATCGATCTAACACGAGAAGTTGAAGTAAACAGAGAAGTTCGAAGGCGATTATTTTTTTTGCCCCATTTTTTTTTCTCATTTTTGAAGAACAGCAGCGCCTGAATTTACTGGTCCATTGTGATATAACGAGGCGAAATTCGTTGAAAGTGGAGATACCCACACGCACATCGGATCTTAGTTTCGTTTCGAGCCTCCAGGCGATCCTCTCGTTCGCTCGAGATGGTAGAAGAGAAAGAGACTGCAAAAGATATTACGCGTGTGTATGTGCAGCCCGCGAAACACGAGCAAAACGATGGGGGCGGCTTGGAAATAGATATTATAAAGTGCAAAGGGATTAATGAGAGGGAGAAAGACGCTTTCTTCGTTTTTTCTTCTCTTTTTCTTGGCATCGTCATCGTGGCTGTTGCCTGCTCAAAGTTATTTAATAGTCGCCGAGAAAAATCCCGCAAACGAAATCGATCGGTAGGACTCGATTGCAATTATCGATTAAATTTCAATTACTTGGACGCAGATGGGTGCATAAGTCGTCGCAAATGGAAGTTGACGATTTCCCAGACGCGCATATAACTGCGAGCGCGCGCCAAATTACTTTGGTAATAACCATGCAAATAGCCATACAACCAACGGATCGGAGTAGCAAAAAAGAATGGCAACTCTGTGAAAAAAGATGCACACCGCAGCGTAGAGAGCGAGAAAGAGAGAGCAAGAGAGAAGTGTAACAGAATACAGTTGAAAAGTGTGTGTGGCTGTTGGTCGCAGAGGAAGAGAGCAAGCGAGAGAGAGAGAGAGAGAGAGAGAGAGAGAGAGCGGTATAGCCGCGAGAAAGAGCAAAAGACTGGAAAAGAGAGAGGGAGAGAGCAAGAAGGGGCCTCGCGGCGACGATGCGCCGCTACCGCCAGCAGTCTTATTACCGCCCGCACTGAACTTAGCCGGCTACTAAGTACTCGCCAAAGGGGGCCTCCTCGTTCTTCTACACCTCTTCGCGCGTTACTCCGGGCACGCCGTACATTTTTCATCGTGCATCTGCCTGCGTACAAATGTGTATTTTCCGTGCGTGAACTATCGCTTGTGCTCGCTCCAGCCCAGTGTTTTCGACCTTACCATGGTCGTCATGCAGTTCTAAGGTAATTTTTGCCGAGTTCACTTGTCACACCGCGCAAACTACCATTCGACTTAAGTATTGCGTGCGTTTTTCTGTAAGGCTGCCTCTGCTTCGTAATCGCAAGATCGCCTCGCAATCTAAATATTTGCATCGTCATCATCCTCATTTTCACCAAAGTAATCAGCATTTTCATTACATCTCAATTATGCGTATCGTCTTTCTTTAAACCTTGCAATTAAGCTTTAGACGCGCAAATACGGCAGGCGGAAACCGCGATGCGCGCATGATATCCTGTCTCGATAAAAAAAAAATAAAACAAATAATGACGAAACAAAAAATAAAAAGAAAAAAGAAACTCATCTAGCCACGCAGCTTAAAAAATTCTTCAATATAACTTCACAAAGTTAATGGCCGATTTGACAAAAAGGGGAAAGAGGAATGGAGGGCGCTCCATATACGAAATTGCGATGGAATCACACGGGGCCGTGCGGTTAAAGTTAATTGGAATTTAATGAGGTTTCCAGCGATTATTGAAACACTTCGTAAAAAAAAGAAACCAAAATCTTTCGGTGCTTGTGTGCTCTGTACGCTCGCGACTATGGCGATCAAACTTCAGGTATTGGCATGGACTTCAAAGGGGGCTTGATTGCAGACGATGCGATTCCGTTTTCGTGAAGGGAAGGCGCAACGACGCGTATACAGCGCGAGCACCTGCCGAAAATCATCTCCGCGGCGCTAATGCGAATTTGATGAGGTGCTGCATTATAATTTCAAAATATATAATAACTTCAAAAAAATTTAGATGTTCTCTCTCTCTCCCCATCGCTGCTCGCATTTTATTTGATTACAGGCTAGATGTCAAAAATACGTGGAGTCTGGGCATCATCCTCGTACATTCGATTACGACCGAATCGTTAAACGTCCAATTAAATGTAAAGAAGTGAGATGCGCCTTGCACGATGCCTATATATCCGAGAGGTATACCCATATGAAGATTGAACTTCATACACCTGTGAGCTGTAGGAGCCCCCCGTACTTTACATAATTTTATATCCAATCAAAAAAATAAAATGAAAAAAAAAGTGGCAGCAAGTGAGCACTGCTGCGCAGGTGTTCGCACACGCGTCAAATCTCTTTGCGCATAATAAAAGCGAGTATCGATACTTATATAGTGCAACTGGAAATATACAGCCATAACAGGCGGCAAAAACTACAGTTCCATTGTCCCCCTCGGAATCCTCTCGCTTTCGATTTTTCTTCTTTACTCCGCTGAACCGAGTGCCTGCCTTATAGCAGCCAGATCAAACAAAGCAGCAGCACATCGGTCTACGTGGAGTAACGAGCGGGTACTCTACCCATGGTTGGGAAACTACCCATGAGCGAGCTCCCGAAAAAAAAAAAAAAAAAAAAAAAAAAAACACGAACCGAAAAAAGAGAGAGAGACGAGTACAGCGGTAAAAGCTCCTTAATGAAACAGCAGTAGTTCGTGGTGGGCGCATTGTCCGCGAGAGCAGCGCGGTGCAATTAGTATGCGGACAACCGGAGACGTGCAACTCGGCGCGCAACTCGTTTTATCCCCCAACCGATTCCACGAAGAGAGAACCAAGAAAGAGAAAGAGAGAGAGAGAGAGAGAGAGGGACCGCGCGCGCGTATGCGATTGTCATTTATTTTCAATGCGTTTTTTTCGTTAATGACGCGTTAAAGGTGTCGATATACGCATCGTAAAGGCCAAAGAGTGCGAATTAACGATATTGGCACTTGTCAGACGACGTGAGTGCCTTTAAAAGCTTTGTCGAGAGACAGAGAGGCGAAGATGCTGATTGTACCGTCGCGGACGTGTTACGTTTGTACCGGCTATGACTCGCGCGAATTGAACGACCTTTTCACTCGTTTCTTTTTTTTTCATGATGAGCGAAGAGGGAGAGAGAGAGAGAGAGAGACAGAGAGCTTTGATTCAATGGGTCTCACTCGCGAGAGCGAGGATGTAATTTGTTGCGCTTATTTTCTTGTTTGACATAATGAGGTGGCGCGCTCGTTCCTTCTTCTCCCTCCCCCCTTTTTTATGAGAAAAATCTGACCGAATAATGCAAGAAAGACTTGTATGTGGCTTTTAATGTCTTATAAAACTTAGAAAACACGGAGCCATTTTTTTCCCGTGCGTTCCGTGGGAAAAAAAAACAAGGATGAGGTTGTGTAGGAAATCTATTTCCGTTGCTGATTGCGCGAGTTTTTTGTTGTTGCCGTTGCACTCATTGAAGTTGTAGGAAGAAATCGATTTCTTTGAAATATACCGTGAAAGGATTTATTGTTGCAGCGAACAGCCATTACCTTGGGCTTGAGTATCGTCGCGCTGTCGTATACTACAGTACTTATAGACTCGCTTTACCTTAAATTGCCAGCTATATAACTACTTAGCCCTCGCTTATTATAAGTCCATAAGTCGTGTTGTTTCGACCAAATGGAATTGTCGCTCGGATAACCAAAGAATGCCGATGCTGGTCGTCGTCGTCTTAATTGTTATCCCATCCTCTCTCGGAAAAATAACCTTCTTCTGGACTTGGGCCAATTTTCGAAGGGGGCACTTTTCCGCGGAGATCATTAACATTTTCTTGAAAAAGCTCGGCCTCGAACGTTATACTTACCAAGTCGGAAGAGTGCTCAAAGCAGCCTTCACACTAAAAACTTGAGCTATGCATTCTAATTTGCGAGAGTCGAGAGATATGTATATGTGTGTGTATGCGTGTGTGTATATATAAGAAGAAAGAGCGCGAAAATATGCCGGTAGTCGCGCGCGGACTTTGGCGCATACACTCGTGAGAGATGACGTGAGAGCGTGACTTGCTCTGCCCTTGTCTTCGTAATATTCGTCATTGTTTCGTTTTTTCCCTTCTTTTCAACGCCCTCCCGCCCTCTCTTGCCCTCTCCGCTCTCTCTCTCTCTCTCTCTCTCTCTTCTCGCTTTATTTCTGCTACTGCGCACAAGCCGCAACTCTCCATTGTCATTCCTCGTGCCCCCGAGTGGCCGTCCGGCGCATCGATATATCGTCCTACTCGGGCGGACCATTTTCTCGCGGATCGTCGCGCGATATCCCGTACGGCGGCGATCGCGGTGCCCCGATCGAGTTCGCGCAACGCGCAATTAGCTCGGTCGATTAGGCAATCGAAAAATCGGCCGCGAACCGATTGCCCAATCGCGCGGTAAGGCAATCCGCAATTGCGTCCGCTGAAACGCAGATATAATTCGATCCGCGGAGATGAACGCTGGAAAAAGGCGCATACGCAGACAGCGTAATCCCTTGCGGCGATCGCGCGCTGATGAAACTTATGCTCGGCTTGTATGTACAGGGGGAGAGGAGAGAGCGTGCGCGCGCGCGCGGGCTTGACAAGTGAAAAATTCTTTTATCAGATTTCGCCGCTGTGGGATGTACGCGCGAGCAAGTGCAACTTTCGCTTTTCCCTTTCACTGAAATTTCGCGTATAGGCTGGCGGCGTACGCATTGGCCGTCTCGTTCCGCGGGACGAGCTTACATGGAACAATTACGCAAGCGGATAAACGCGAATCGCGCCTCTGGCCTTCCCGTGATAAGGGACTGCAACGGCACGACACGCCATGATGCGCGAGAGCGCCAAGTTCCACGCGCAGCAGGTGAATTATTGAACCTCGGCGCGCAGCGTCGAATGGCGCGCTTTCTAAATCCACAAATCAAGCCTGCGGCCGGCTCGAAGCGACGGAAAAGTCAGCAGCGTTTGGCATCGGTGCGTGGACAGGCACTAATGACGCGGAGTAACCTATAGCGCCACGATACACACGTCGCGTCGCTCGCGCGCGCCAGGGAAGAAAAGCAGACGAAAGGACGTTAGAATGAATGTATAGCTGATTGCATTCACGGCTAGCTTATTTCCTTCTCCTCTCTCTCTCTCTCTCTCTCTCTCTCTATCTTAAAAAGGGACACGGGCTTTAAACAGTTACTTTCGCTCGTAATTTCTCGTCCCTTCGTTTCGCCGCGCGCGAAAATTTATCTCTGAAAAACTCGTATCTAATGCAATTTCCCTTCCGTCAAGATCCCACGGAACGCTCGAGCATACATCGTCCTGTCTGTATATGGTGCAAGCAAGTTAAAACTGAGTGATTGAAGGATGCACGCACGCGCACACATAGGTTTTGCCTTGTACAGGTTCGTCGGGTTATAGGTTTATGGAGATTGCTTCGTTTTTTCTCTCTCTCTCGCGCGCATTTTGTTTAGAAGAAGCGAAATATATCTGCTTTTGCTCTCGGCGCGAGAAAAAAGAAGCGCTCGCGCGAAAAGGCTCCGCGCGCGAGTTGAAGAATGAAGACAGCCCTGTTTCACGTACGGAATCTCTCTTCGTCATTGCGTGAAGCGCAAAGTAATTTAATGCACTTTCTTTGCCGCTGGAACGCCGATAAAAATTATCTTTTCAATTTGCGCGCCTCGGGAACGCGCAGACGGCACTTTAGCTTATCAATTCCGCTCGCGACCGAACGTCGAGAGATTTCATTGAAAAAACAAAGTAACGCTTTCTATTTCGATTATCCGATAGCTGCAGCCAGATGATCAATATCCCGCCAAATGAATTTAACACAATTAATGTGATAAAGTTTCGCGTAGCCTGAAGGGTGGCAAAGCAGGCATGATAAATGAGCCGTTGGCTTCGTACTTACGGCCGATGCAGCCTTCCAGAAGAGGAAAGAAAAATACCGCCTATCGACCTATCAAAGCCATCAATCCCGAAAGCTCATCGCGAAAATCGACGTGTACATAGCCCTTTCGTACGGCAATATCTCGCGACGCGCTATAATAATTCAATGTCGCGCACACATCGCGAAACTTCTCCGCGGCTTCAATTTAACGGCGCAAAAATAGACGCGTACGTATATAGGCTCGAGCATTAATGCGTATAAACGCAAACAAATCGAGCTCATTAGGCTCTCTCGCTATCAGGGCGAGTTCGTCAAAGACGATAACGGATGTTTGACTAAGCGCTCGTCGTTAAAACATCAGT